GCGACGTCGAGAACGATGGCGATGAAGGAGGTAAAGGCAAGCCCCGCGAGGCAGCAGAGCAGGAGGAGGCCGACGAGGGTGTAGAGGGTCGCGGCGCCTGAGATGCCCTCAACGGCGCGGATGGAGTTCGATATCGGGAGAGAGTGGTTGTGGAGGGTCGCAAGGAAGTAGGAGAAGATTGCGAGGATGAGGACGGAGCAGCCTAGCTGGACGCCGCGGATGAACCACTGGAGGAATTTTAATGCGAAGCCCATAGTTGCGGCGTATGTTGAGCTTCTTCCTTGTGGTTTCTTTGATAGTTGGCTGATTGTATGAGTTCAGTATACTCGGAAACTTGATTGTTTGGTTGACTTTGTGCGGGTTTCCTTTCTTGTTGTTTAAGTCTACACCCTGGATACCAAAGGTGAGGTGGGATGAGATAGAGTCAAGGTGAGCGAATGGGGAGAGGGAGGTTCGAGACCCTTAAGAATTAAAGGTTAAATGGAAGGAAAGAAGGAAACAAGGGCTGCCTGCCTCCCTGCTTCGTCTGCCGGTAAACGGACTGACCGATCCCGCTCCATTGCGTAGATCGTGGCAAGGTTCAGCGCTGTTCAAGCTTGTCTTGGGCTCTCTCCGCCCCATCCCCGTTTATTCCTGGAACATGTTCTTTACGTTCTACGGATACTGCGCACACAGTCAGTGTATTCACCACACACACCAACACCCCCAAAGTTTGCAGCCAATTCGCCCAATGACGGAGGGCAGGCGTCAGGTTCTTGATCCGGGGCGCTGTTTGCAGACGTTGATGACGGAGGACGTTGTGGCTGAATGGGGGTTGTGGGCAAGTGGGCCCCGATGATGTCAGGCGTCTTGGAGGGATAGACGTCGCCGTGATTGGGCCGGAGCCAGAACGTATTCTCCACTTGTTCTGTGCCGGAGGGCTGGCACGGCCACGGTGGTGGGGTCTTCTGTGGCTTTGGCGGGGCGAATGACTTATGGAACCTGGAAGGTGTGGGGAGGGATCGCTCGGTTTCCCAGGGGTCTTCCCATTTTACCTTTCGCTTTTGATGTGACTTGTGACTGAGAGTTTCCACTGCCCCCTAGCTTCCCATGCCAGGGTTGGCTTCACCTTTTATCGGCTCGCACGGGATAGCCCAGAGCCCAGACCCGTATGTTGACGTTGTAAAGGTGGTGTTCATGACTAAAAACCTACTGCGTACAGTAAGGTGTACCAAAAAGTCGTGGAGCCCTGGGATGCTTCATGTCCAAGACGGCTAGAGTTTAAGAACGGCAGAGTTTTTCAGCTTTCCCGGGATCATCTCCCTTTGGACGGTTCTCGGAGCAGCTTCTCGGATTTATGACTGATTTCCCAGCGTCAATGTATCCATACTGGCAGACTGCGAGTGTTGCAAATGCCCACGTTCTGGACTTCTGTCACATCTGGAATAAACGTCTGCTCAACTTGAGACTGCGTTCAACCCCACTGGATCCAGTTTTGGTTATGTCTGTATCTTGGTCTGGCCAGCTCATGCGTATACCTACCCAAAAGACATCCCTTAGTGTACTGTACGCGTCGCTCTAGTATGTCTCGGTTTAAAGGCCTGGTCCGGGCTGTTGAAGATCATTGGCGGGCCGGCACCCAATTGCAAGGGCGGTCCTACCTATGAGATAATTGATGATCAGCTATGCAACCACGGCACGTCTCTTCTCCGTTGAGTTTCGCGTAGAGTTTGTTCTCCCCGCTGCCAGATTTTTTGTGGATTTGCACGGTTCTGGTCGTTTCCCCTGGTTATGTCAGGGTTTCCCCAGATCGTGGAAAAGCCCACCCGCCAGAAATTCAAGAGCACTCTTCTGTACGGAGTGCAGCTCGGACACAATCGCTGCATCGAAGAGATATGGGTGACTGATAATTGTTCATCCAACTTGTGTATAATAGCGCAGTCAGCGCTGTTCTCACAGTTACCGGTACTGTTTTTTTATCATCTCGGCGGTGGACTATTGGTCTTTTGGGACTAGGCGTCAAGTCGGTCTGTTGCTCTCAGTCCGGTCATATTATGTCATTGCCTGCTCTATCGACGCATTGTCTGACGGGTAGCGCCGAAGGCAATCATAGCGGCGGCTTTGAAGCTGTCGACGATCGGACGATTTCGACGGAAATTTGTGATGTCAGATTCCAGTCAAGTGCCTCGGCCCGCGGAGAAAACTACCGGTAGAAAGTTGGACTACGTGACTTCCTTTTGGGCAAGAAGGGTTCGTCCGAGAAGTAGCCCAGGGCTTTCACTCGACAGTGGCGTTCCTCGCATCTAGACAAAACACCACAGTCGTCAACCTCGAGTGTAACTGGACAACAATCTTGGGTTGCAAAGAAACCGTAAAATCCCGAGACAAGACGCCGTTTGTGTTTGTGTAATGTCTTGCGGAATTGAATGCCTTCCGACTTTGGGCACTTCGGATCAGGCGCCTTCCGGGTAGGCTTCCGATGGGGCGTTCGGTGGGCTGCGGGTGGCTGTTCAAAGACTGTCGATGACTTTGCTGTTGCACTCGGCGAATTCCAGCCCTGCTATGGCTTCGGAAAATGTTTGGCCGTAGCATACCGGCGTTGGGTGAATGGGCGAAGGGTTTGATGGACGGCAGCGGCCCCGCTTTCCTGGCTGGCACCAAGGCTCCGGCACATGGTGTTCCGTACCGGTGCCCCGGTATGGGGCCGGTCGATTACAATAGGTCCCTCTACCTTATCAACAGTGCCTGTCTGGGACTTTGGTGCCGTGGGTCCCCTCGGCGATGTTGGTTGTTCGGCGCCTTCCGACGTTTCTTGACCGCCAACCACCTTTGTAGAACCTATCGGAGGCATCAGCGAACCAGTCCCCGCCGGATGATGCTTCTCAACACGATGTCGAGCCATATTCCGGATTGGCGGGCGCAGAAGGTGGAACATCGGAAAGAGGTCTCTTCGAATCGAGCTCGTGGGCTGCCTCTAGCGCGGTGCGATTTGGCGGCTATTTTTCGCCGTTGGATTTTCTTTGTGAAGCCTATAATAGGTTGTTGTCTCGCATGGCCTGGCGTGTTTGGCTTTGTTCAGCCTTGCTAACGTTGGCCGAGCAGTCAGTCGGTAAAGTGCGGTGTGGGGATGGTATTCTTTGTCCCATCTTACCGTTAGGAAACCACAAACCGAATCACGACGCCGAGCAGGTGGGCAAACCGCGCGCTATCCTGGAGGTAATATGGTGCTCGGGTCGTGGAGAAGGGCTAGCTGGACAGTTTATTTGCCCCTTCCCACATTGCGGCGAAAATCGATAGTACGTTTCCACTAATAGCAGCCACAATTGGCCGCCATGACAACTCCAGCTCTCGCAATCTGGAGGATTCTTCAAGTACTTGTCCTTGCAAAGCCCGCTCCCAGCCCAAGTGGAGAAACCAAGCTGGGCAGACTTCAACATGGCAAGAGCGTCTTGGCAACTTTCGTGATGGGATGACAGCGGGAGGTGGGTTCCAGTATTGACAGGACAGGCGAGCAGAAATCGGCCTCCCTGACTCGAAGATATCTGGCGCGTTTCCAGAATATGCGGGTTTCTGGTCCCCTTTCAAAGAGCTCCTCATGATCAGTCCCTGTACTACTGGCTGCTTACTTCTCGTGTGCTGTCAACGTCCAAAACAGTAAACATTGGTACGGATAGACACAATCAATTTGCCGTCGGAGCCGAATCTGCGAGTTATCGTCAGCCAAACTGTCAGTGTCCTGATTTGTTCTTCCGCACGAACCCCTCTCCGCTATCATCGAATCCCCGGATTGATAAAGATTATGCGCGTGAGGTCGGGAGCATTACGCAAGCTGCAATACAAACAAGAGATGCATGCGTTCTGCAGCATCAGCTGGAGCGCCATGATTGACATGGCATCAATAGTTTGGCATCGGCAACGCAGGGCAGGGGCAAGGTTGCCACACCAAATATACGAACCGGAGGAGAAGTCAGGCTCGCGGCTCGTCGGCCTCGAAGTGCAAGAGTGCTTTGCCTGGCTGACTCGGCCTGCTGGGGCAATGCCGAGAAGGGGGCTTTCCCACCTCCCGAACATCACCAGGCCAAAACCACCACCCAAAATGTCGGGATGCAATTTACTGCTCGACGCACCATTGGGCCATGTCCCTCTCCAGAAAACCCTTTGAAGGGCATCTCGAAGAGTTGAACCAACCGATTAAGGTTAAGCAAAGTAAGCCGTGCTCAGGGGCAGGGGATCGTCACCCCGGCACCCCTGGTTTTGCGGCTGGCACCGACAGCAGCCACAAAATGCCCGCGGCCAATCACGACGGCCGTGTTGTCCAGTTTATCTTGATCCATCCAATGCGAGGTTGGCACTAAATCAAAAAGGGAAAGAGGGGTCCCAGCACCCTTGGCAATTTCTGCCAAAAATACGAAGAACTCACTCTCAATTTCTCACCCTTACCATCAATCTCACCCTCACTCTCACTCTCACTCTCACCCTCACTTCAAGGGACCTTCACTAGTAGGGGATTTGCCTCCCATCCACCCGGGCCTCACTCACTCTTCCCAGGGCAAGATTAAGCTGTGCCGCCATTCTCTTTTGGCGCTACTCCGTACACCAAGCATACACGGAGACTACTTCCCTTGCTGGCGATAGAGCCCCTCCACAACAGCCTAGGCCTGCCCAGAGTGCCTAGATCATCCGTCTCCTGCGGTCAGGTCCCCACGGTTCCGACGGCCGGCTCGTGTATGTTGGCAAAAAGTTGTTGCCGCATCTCTTTGTCTATTCCTTCGTGGTTCTGGTGTCGTTTCACACCATGTCTCTCATATCTAACGGCCATGGGCCACTATCTCATCTCTGTTTCCTCTCACCTCCCTCGCTTCGCCTTCTTCTTCTACATCCTTCACACTTTCTTTGGTCTATCTATGCCTTTATAGTGCTCTAATTCAAAGGTCAAGCCGTCACTATTACGGACGACCAAGTCACTCACTTGCACTACAATTTGTAATTCGGTTTCCTCGTAGTCGAGGTAGCATACCACCATGAAGGTGAACTCCTCCATACTGTTGAGCCTTCTTGGCTTGGCCTCACAGGCCCAGGCTGATCCGACCTGGCCCTCGGACATTGACGAGTTGGAAGAGATCATGTACCAGTCATTCAACTTCGGATCAAGGCACTTTGCCGACAACGTCTTCCCCTGCGCCAAGGAGGCAACGGGCACCGGCCGCCAGACTGCTGCAGAATGGCTGCGAACCGCTTTTCACGATATGGCACCGGCCAACGCGGGGGCAGGAGTTGGCGGGTTGGACGCATCAATACAATATGAGCTGTCGAGCACCGGCGAGAATACCGGTCCTGCTTTCTCGACAACTCTGACCTTTATGGGACATTACCTGACCCGCAAAAGCAGCATGTCGGACCTCATCGCTCTAGGAGTCTACACTTCCGTCCTGTCGTGCGGCGGTCCCTCAGTTGCAATCCGATCCGGCCGCATCGACGCAACCGTGAAAGGAGCCGCCGGCGTACCGCAGCCCAACGAAGTCATCCAAGTTTTCAACTCAAAATTCAATCGCATGGGATTCACGCCACAGGAGATGATTCAAGTCACAGCCTGCGGCCATACAATTGGCGGCGTCCACACGGCCGAGAATCCAACTATCGTTCCAGACGGCACAAATGCGAACGGCTCCGCACCCATGGATAGCTCAAACGGTGTCTTTGACAACAGAATTGTGACCGAATACCTAGACGGCACCACACGGAACCCACTCGTCATCAAGATGGGCACGGCTCGAGCCAGTAATTCCGATTTCACCGTCTTCAGCTCCGACAAGAACGCCACCGTGAAGGCCATGACCGACCTCGCAGTCTTCAAGTCTACCTGTAAGACCGTCTTTGAGAAGATGATCAACACCGTGCCATCTGGTGTTACTCTTGGCGATGCTATCGCACCCTACACCGTCAAACCGTCCCAGCTTCAGCTCTCGCTCACTTCGCCCACCGTCATGACTCTTACAGGATACATTCGCGTCCGAACTACCGCTATCACAGGCATCTCGAGTCTGACGATCAATTATAAGAACCGAAGTGGTGGGTCTACCTGCGGGACTAGCTCCTGTGTCTTTACGATTACCATTTCGGGTATCTCAAAGGGCTTGGAAGACAGCTTCTCCTGGTATCCCATCAGGCAGGATATTCCCGTCAGCACGGGCATCTCGTCCTTTACTGTGACGATTAACAAGAGCGACGGCTCGAGCACATTATTCAACAACAATGGCAACGGGTACCCCATACAGGATGGCATCTTTCTCCAGACGTCCCAGAGCTGCCTGACGCAGAACTCCGGCGATGTTACACTGGTCGCCGCAGTCCGCAACGACCGCACGTCTCTTCCGGTCAAGGCAGAAATCTCTTACAAGACGGCGCGGACAAGCAGCGTGGTGCCGCTGCTGGGTAAGATGACCGTCGATATGGTCAAGGGCGACTGTGTAGGCAGCTACACCTTTTACAGTGTCACAACGAACATTCCCGGTGGCGTTAGTTTCGAGTCGACTTTTGACTTCATTAGCGGAGAGGGCGCGTCCGCCATGATTGACCCCTTCAAGAAGGCTGACCCTATCGGTGGGACATGTTCGAGCTGGACGGGAGGGTCTCCGACATGCGGCAGCGTCACAGTGTCGTCTTCCACGTCCAGCGCGGCCCCGACTGCTACGATTTCCCACCGACAGACTATGGGTGGCTACAAGCTCGTCTCCTGCTGGACCGAGGCTTCGGGTGGCCGAGCTCTCACCGGTGCCGCGTTCGCTTACGACGGCATGACCCTCGACAGCTGCATGGCAAACTGCACGGGATTCGACTACTGGGGCACCGAGTACGGACGCGAATGCTACTGCGGCAACTCTCTGGCTACGTCCAGTAGTTCTGCGCCCTTGGCCGACTGCAACATGCCATGCTCTGGTGATTCTACGCAATACTGCGGAGCCGGGAATCGTATTGAGTTGTACTCGACCACCGCCACCCGAACCAGCAGCTCCACGGCCGCTCCCACAGCTACTCTCGCACACATCAGCACCATCGGCAAGTATTCTCTCGTCGGCTGCCAGACGGAGGCCGATGGCGGTCGCGCCCTTACTGCTGCTCAGACTGCTGCGGACGACATGACTCTCGACAAGTGTGCTACTTTCTGCTCCGACTACACATTCTTTGGCACCGAGTATGGACGCGAGTGTGAGTGTTGAGTGCGTCTTGGGGCATGAATGAGAACTAACGCGAAGTAGGCTATTGCGGTAACAGTTTGGCAGCAACCAGCAAGACTGCGTCCCTGAGCGAGTGTAACATGAGGTGTGCCGGCAATTCGTACCAATACTGTGGTGACGGCAACCGTTTGGAGCTGTACCAAGCCGGCAGTGCCTCGTCTACTTTGGCGTCGACGGTGGCTACTACGACCTCGAGCAGCACCTCGTCATCAAGCTCTATCAGTGTCTTGGTGGCGAGCGGGTCAACGTCTTCTACTCTGACGTCTGCTTCTGCTACTGCCAGCAATTCTTCGATCTCGTCGCAGGTGTCTACTTCAAGTTCGAGCAGTATTGCATCTTCCACCAGCTCTACGTCTTCTAGCAGCGTGGCATCCTCACCAAGTGCCACGTCCTCCTCAAGCACCTCATTGAGCATCGCATCGTCGTCCAGCAGCGCCGTAACCTCAGCGATAATCTCGCCCTCTGCCTCCAGCACCATCTCCACCTCAACAACTGCCTCCCCTACGCTGGCTCACAAGCCTACCATCTCGCCCTACACCCTGGTAGGCTGCTGGACAGAAGGCAACGGCGTCCGCGCTCTGAGCCAGAAGAACTACGCCTCCGGCGACAACATGACGCTCGAGTACTGCGCCTCGTACTGCTCAGACTATAAGTACTTCGGCACGGAATACAGCAGCGAATGCTACTGCGGCAACTCCCTCGCCTCCACCAGCGCTGCCGCGCCCCTGGCGGACTGCAGCATGACCTGCTCCGGCAACAAGTACGAGTACTGCGGCGGCGGCAACCGCCTGACGCTCTACCAGTCCGACAAACAGGTGACGGGGCCCAGCCAACCCGCCACGGCCGGGGTCTACGCTTTCCTCGGCTGCCGCACCGAGCCCGCGCAGGGCGGACGCGCTCTGGATGCCAAGGCTACGGCCAGCAGCGACAAGATGACCAACGAGGCGTGCGCGGCGTTCTGCGATGGGTATAGCTACTTTGGCACGGAGTACGGCGGCGAGTGCTATTGCGGTAATGCCCTGCCGACGACGTCGCTTGATGCCCCGTTGAGCGATTGCAGTATGTTGTGTACTGGCTCTAGCACAGAGTACTGCGGTAACGGCAACCGTTTGTCAGTATATAAGAAGTGAGAGTGGTGTAGTGATGCGGGTGGGTTTGGGCATTAGACCCGGCGCATGTAGTTATGCTGATACATTCGGCATCGACGAGATTGGAGATATGATACCTTTTTGGTCAAGAATTTCGGCCATTTATATAAAATTACAATGCATGTTACTGTATTTGCTTTTAGGTCGAATGAACCATGTGTAGATACCTAGACTAGGGATGAACCAATTCTCCTTCTCGGCTGGCGAGAAATGTGACATCCACATGTTGTCAGTGTGCAATCCGCTCAACTCTTGCGGATCATCATTGCCAAGGAACATAGCCAAGTATTAAACTCATAGTAGATTGAAGGCCTGGGTCAACTCTTTAATCATTTCATCTACTTGAAATAGTATCCTATCCTTACGCGTCATCGTCGGTGGGAAAATTCTAAAGTTTGCTTACAGTCGGTAATGTCATGCATGACATCTTCACCGCTATTGGTCCTTCAAAAGTTGACCTTGGTCAGTCCTCTTAAGGGGGAAAGCGTTCAGTACCTCAATTATAGATCCCGTTCAGGTTATCCAGGACGTTCGCCTTTCTGCTGCCTCCGTCGCCCACGTCCTCGTCTTGTCCTCACCTACCGAAGAGCTGCCTTCTTTCTTCCTTCTGTCGTCGCTATCAAGACAGGCACTTATCGCCAAGACGATGAAGACAGGCTAGCTGTCTTCAGGGAGGGTTCAGGGCTCACGTCAAGTAGACTGGGGATACAATATTGTATAAGAAAGAGATGACATCTAACAACACATATTCACTGACAAATCGGAAGCAGTGATCTGGTTTTGTCTGACTACAATGCTCCAGCCAACTATCAAGAGAGAAGAAAGACAGAGATTCGCTCATTTCGGCAAAGACAAAAAAGTTTAGGTACGTTTTGGGGACAGCATGCTCATTCTACACAGAAGCAACTTCAATGTGGCTAAACTACTCTTGTTCCACGACGATATCTTGGAGTGCTGATAGGACCAAGATTTGAAGATACGTAGTAGCCGCAGCCTTCCATAAAGCAAGAAGAACCGTAGTTCAGGAAAACCTCGCAGCGCAGCTCCCTCCCAGACGGGACTCGCTCTTGTGTTTCTTTTCTCTTCTGTGAAGATTCCATATACGATGACTCGTCTCGGGAAAACTTGTTGCGAGGGTGGGCCTGGTGGCCGCGAACCCTGCCAGGCAGGAGCAATGTTGAGAGCATGGGTAGAAGCGAGCTCTCTATCATACAGTTCATCTTGTATCGGATTTCAGATATGACTCGCTGGTTATTGTATCCCCTCGTGACTTAGATCTTGCCGTTACATGCTGTTCTCTTTCAGAGGGACGACTAGTTGGATGACTTGACGTAGATATAAATGCCCCGGGAACTTCACTCGCAATTTGAACCCATCAATCTAGTCTGTGTACCTAATACATTATGTTTCAGCTAACTTGAACGAACGTCACCCAGGCTAATAAGAGAGAGTTATACAACTCTCAAGATGGCCGACGGGTATTATCATGGTCAGCTGAGCCAGGCAAACGAATTCGCAACGTTTGGTATCTTGGAGACATCTTGACCTCGATATCCACAACACCGACATCACCTTGAGATTGAAGCTAGTATGCCGCAAATTAGTTGTTTCTGGCCGATGATCTAGATGCTCACATCAGACCTTCAATCTGTATCAAAGCATGATCGTTTGTGATTTTCATCGCGAGCTGTTATGTCATCCAGACTGACCATGTCTGAACGAAGTTGAACGTCCAGAACACAGACAGGCGATCGTCTCGCGAGAGGAGAAGCCTCATTGCAGTTGAATTAACTTGAATGCCGTGCGTCAGTTGAGACGAAGGACACAGCAGCAATAATCTGACAGCCAACGCATCAGAAACCTTCAACATATTAATTTTGACGCTGTTGCCTGGTCTCTCGTCCACAAGCGAACACGCGATTCATCTACCACCGAACAACTTTTAAATGAATATAATGAACGCTTCTAGAAACAATGAAGACTGACAAGACTACCTCGACTGGACAGAATTGTTTGGTTGTACAGGAAAGACGGCAGAAGGGGCCAGGGGAGAGCTGACTTCAACTCCAGGAGATCAAATCTATTAGATGGCCGCTCTATTAAACAGATAACAGACCATGCTGTTTCTGCTATACGCACAAGAACAAATGTGGCAGCGCAAGAAATTCTGCGATGGTCTTAAAGATGTAAACGGCGAATCATTGTCGTCGACGATCTACCATTCTCGTAACTCTAGCCTAATATAACCGACCAACGTTGCAAATGCGTTTATGACTCATCAATAAAAGACGACGAGAATCAGACAATGAAGACCTGGCAGAATCAATGTAGTCTAGCGAGCAACACGCAAAGGCCGTTGAAGCGAGCATCGGGATAACATCCCGCCCTGCACATACACCTTAACGTACATCGTCAGGAGAGTCCACGGCTTCGTCCATCACTTTGAGCAACCCCTCGGAAGATCTAGATTCCAAGAACCACGTCCACACAGTTGAGAGGAGTATAAAGGATGGTCAAAAAGAATCGGGTTCTCGTCGCTGCAAGTCATAAGGGCGTTGAGCAACAGGAATATTGCATTATCGCGACATTGTAGGCGCTAAAAAGATTAGCCGACTAGCCGTATCGTTTTTGGGGCCAAGCGTCTGTCGAAAACACTATCTTCATCGGCCAAAAGAACATTCAGCCAGCGGCATCTGATGCAAGCGTCATCGCAAGGCATCTCGTGAATCACGTACCGTACGCCTGGTCGCATTTACGATTCAGTTTGGAGGTGATTGCGATGCGCACAAGAACGTCTACGACAGCCGGCATTTACTTGTAACACAATAACTCTCACGTCACATCACAGCATGAAGCATCTCATCCTCGTCGGGGCGTGCTACGTCGACACAGTCCTCAGGCAAGGCTCTCATCCCGCCCACTGATCAAGACTGGGGCTTTTCTACTCACACCCCTTCTTCTCAAGCGTACCTCACTTCCCCGAAGAGGACCTGAAGCTACGAGCTACGAGCATCCGCGTACGCAGGGGCGGCAACTGCCCTAACACAATGGAAGTCATCCAGCAACTTCTCCGCGCAGAGCACCTACCGCATTCACAAACCGAGCCCCTGACGATGCACCTCGTCTCGCCCCTGCCGGAACGTCAATCCCAGGCGACGGCGCAGATCATGGCCTCGTTCCCGCCAGCGCCAGATACCACCGTCGTCGCCGCCGCCACCGCCGCGGAGATCACATTTGATCACTGCCTATTCCGCAAAGGCCACCAGGCGCCGGCGAGCGGTTACATCTTCCGCAGCGAGGCAACCGGCAGCCGGACAATCGTAAACCACAATGACCTGCCCGACATGACGACGGACGAGTTCCTCAACGTCGTCGAGGCGTTCCGCGGCAAAGGCGGCCGGACGTGGTGGCACTTTGAGGGACGGGTTCCGGAGACGACACTCAGCTGCATTCTGGCTCTTAGGCGGGCCCTGGGCGACGACGTGGTGACGGTCAGCGTCGAAGTCGAAAGGCCGGGCAGGGCGGGGTTGAGAGAGCTCGCTGCTGAGGCTGACGTGGTTTTCTACTCCAAGAGCTGGGCCGAGGTGCGTCACGTTCGTTCTTGGATATCGGCGTACGCCAGTCACAGCAGTGTGCGGTGCATACTGACAGGACTGGCATAGGCCTGCGGGTATACGTCCGCTGATGATTGTCTAAGGGAAGAGTCGCTGTCGTTACCGCGGACGTGAGTTCGGTCAAGAGGTGTCTACCGGTACGCAACGCGTTTCTTGCTGACTGCAGAATAGGTCGTTGGCTATGGTTACGTGGGGTGCTGAGGGAGCATGGTGCATATCACCCAAGGACCGGCAGCTGGTCAAAAGCCCTGTCGAGACGCCGGTGAAGCAGGTCGTCGAGTAAGCTTCGCCATACCACTACTCAATACTCAACCCTCTTCTTGGCGCGCGATACTAATAAGTTCGGGGGGGAACAGCTCGGTAGGGGCGGGGGACACCTTCGTTGCGGGCATGCTGTACGGACTGATCTGCCAGGCCGACGCTTGGGACGTAACGCACAAGTTGGACTTCGCGGTTGCACTCGCCACACTCAAAGTCCAGCGAGAGGGGTTTGGTGGACTGGGAGACGATATTCGTAAGAATACGCAAAGGTCGCGCTGACGGTGGGCCATCCGTCAGGCGTTGAAACTGTCGCCGTGGGCTCTCCGGGTCGTGGCCCCGTGTCCCCCCGGTGCCGTAGATGGATGCTTCGGCGGGTGGGGCGACTGTCCGCCAATCGTCAGGTAAGCCAGGCCAAGAGGCCGTATTTTGCCCGCCAGCGGACCGATGGAGCACCCGTCGGTGGTCGCGCCTGTTCCGAAGCTGTGCAAGAGTGAAATGTTATAAGACCCTCTATGGCTCTGTGGGGATCAAGAGGCGGTGTACACCTATCCCGGGGTCCCATACGTTAGCACAATAAATTAATAAAGTAGTTAGGTTATATACCCTATCTACCTATATAAAGTACCGATTCTATTTTTTTTACCCATTTTTTATAACTAAACTTAAAAATAATATTTTAAAAATAAAAACTAATATCCCTATTTAATATTAATATTCCGTACTTTTTTCTATTTACTAAACTACTATAAATTTTATAATTATAACTTTAACTATAACCTTAACTACGGGCCTAATTATACTATTTTTATTTATTTCTATTTTATTAATTATACTTATTTTTATTTTATTAATTATATTATTTTTATTTATTTCTATTTTATTAATTATACTATTTTTATTACTTATTACGCTACTTATTATATTTTGTAAACTAACTATAAATAATATTATTCTACCCTTTATACTTATTAAACTATATATAAAAAAGCTTACAAAAAACTAAAAAATTAAAATCCGTACTTTTTATAAATACTTTAATTAAATATATAAGTAAATTATAAAAACTATACTTTTTATATATTACTAAGTTTAATTAGCTTATATAAACTCCTTACTAATTATATTATAAAAAAATAAGTATTATAAATTACGGATTCGTATACTATAAAAAGACCACTTTTAAAAATAGCTCCTATTTAATAATTTATATAAAAAGATTTTATAAATAAACTTATTACTATTTTTACTTCTTAATTTTTTATTATATAAAGAGTTTATTTTTATAACTATTTTATATTTTATAAGCTATTATTAAGCTATTTAACTACGTAAAATTTATTAAATTAAAATTAATAAGTAATAACGAGTTACTTTTACTTAAATATATTTTTAGCTCTGCCCATAGCTTAAAAATTAAAAAAATATAATATTTTTAAATAAAACTTAAATAACTACGGACCTTATATAAAAATAATAAGTAATAGTATATATTATAAAAAACTTAGCCTCTTTTATCTTTATATAAATAAATTTATATAGTTAAATATTTTAAAAAGCTTTTATTAATAAAATTAAGGGCTTAGGTTTTATTTAAAAAAAAAATAAAAAAGAATTAATATTAAAAAGTACTTTTTTTAAATAGTACTAATAATTATTACCTTTTTTTAAAAATACTATTTTAGCCTATTTTAATACGATAATATCCTAGTTTATAAAGCTAAAAAGACCTATTTTATTTTAAAAATACTTAAAATATTAATATTATATTAATTAATATATAATCCTAACTTTAACTTAATAAAAAATATATAGTTCTAAATAAAAAATTAAGTAAAATTATACTTCGATTTATAATTCCTTATACCTAAATAATTACGAGCTACTATTTAAGCTACGTAAGAAGTAGTACTTAGGGAGTAGTTAAAATAATTAATATACTTAATACCTCGTTAACTATAGCTCGTAATTAAGTAAAATAGTAAAAATATTAAGTACTAAAATTAATAAGTAATTTATTACTAATCGAAAGTATACTTATTTAACTAGGTTGTTTTTAATTTAGGTAAAGTCTATTTTTATATATACCGTATTAATATATAGGACCCCGGGATAGGTATATATAGTTAATAAAGCTTAAGCGAGGAGGCAACCTATTATGAGAGAGGGGACTCGGTAGTATACTTATCCCGGGGTCCTATACGTTAGTACGGTATATATAGAGATAGACTTTACCTAAATTAAAAATAACCTAGTTAAGTAAGTATACTTTTAATTAATAATAAATTACTTATTAATTTTAGTACTTAATATTTTTACTATTTTACTTAATTACGAGCTATAGTTAACGAAGTATTAAATATACTAGTTATTTTAACTACTCTTTAAATATTACTTCTTACGTAGCCTAGATAGTAACTCGTAATTATTTAAATATAAAAAATTATAAATCGAAGTACGATTTTATTTAATTCTTTATTTAAAACTATATATTTTTTATTAAGTTAAAGTTAAAATTATATACTAATTAGTATAGTACTAATACTTTAAGTATTTTTAAAATAAAATAGGTCTTTTTAGTTTTATAAACTAAAGTATTATTATACTAAAATAGGCTAAAATAGTACTCTTAAAAAAAGGTAATAATTATTAGTACTATTTAAAAAAAATACTTTTTAATATTAATTCTTTTCTATTCCTTTTCTTAAATAAAACCTAGGCCCTTAATTTTATTAATAAAAGCCCCCTAAAATATCTAACTATATAATTTTATTTATATAAAAATAAAAGAGGTTAAGTTTTTTATAATATATACTATTACTTATTATTTCTATATAAAGTCCGTAATTACTTAAGTTTATTTAAAAATATTATATTTTTTTAATTTTTAAGCTATAAATAGAGCTAAAAGTATATTTAAATAAAAATAACTCGTTATTATTTATTAACCTTAGTTTAATAAATTTTATATAGTTAAATAGCTTAGTAATAGTTTATAAAACGTAAAATAGTTATAAAAATAAACTCCTTATATAATAAAAAATTAGGAAGTAAAAATAGTAATAAGTTTATTTATAAAATCTTTTTATATAAATCGTTAAATAAGAGCTATTTTTAAAAGCGGTCTTTTTATAATATACGAATCCGTAATTTATAATACTTATTTTTTTATAATATAATTAGTAAAAAGTTTATATAAACTAATTAAACTTAGTAATATATAAAAAGTATAGCTTTTATAATTTACTTATATATCTAATTAAAATATTTATAAAAAGCGCAAATCTCGATTTTTTAATTTTTTATAAGCTCTTTTATATATAATTTAATAAATATAAAAAATAAAATAATATTACTTATAGCTAGCTTATAAAATATAATAAATGATATAATAAATAATAAAAATAATATAATTAATAAAATAGAAATAAGTAAAAATAATATAATTAATAAAATAAAAATAAGTATAATTAATAAAATAAAAGTAAATAAAAATAGTATAATTAAGCTTATAATTAAGGCCGTAATTAAGGCCGTAATTATAAAATTTATAGTAGTTTAGTAAGTAAAAAAAAGTATAGAATATTAGTATTAAATAGGGATATTAGCTTTTATTTTTAAAATACTATTTTTAAATTTAATTATAAAAAACGGGTAAAAAAAATAAAATTAGTACCTCGTATAAGTAAATAGGGTATATAACCTAACTACTTTATTAATTTACTACGCTAACGTATAGGACCCCGGGATAGGTATATACTAATAGTTAGATATCCGCAAAGGCCAGGACGCGTTAGCAGCGCTCGTTGTTATTAGTGGAGGGGTGACAGGCCGGGCCAATATGCATTCATGCGCCGCCGATGCTTTGATGCAGCTTGAAGATGGTGCACCTCACACGGGGCCTGCGACGGCGAACAAGGCTGCATGTGGCCTGCTGCAGCTGATAGTGGCATGCCGCATGGCCCCCAGACCTAATCGGAGACTACTGCGCAAGCAAAAACGGGGAGAAGTAATTTGGGCCGTTGCTACAATACCTCTGTGTGTACGTCCTCACATGCCGGCCAGCGAAGTTTGTCGCGAGAATTTCGTCCCCTTCATATGGATCTACTGCAGCGAGACCGTGTGGGTGACTGAATATACATACAGATGGGCCAAGTGACCTTGTAGGGGAAGAGGGCTGGGGATAGCGAATTGTCACATTTCTCGTAATTCGGTTGCGGAGCCAGAGCCTGGAAATGAGGCAGAGAAGAAGAAAAAAACTCTTCCCACGACGTTGGACCTCTCACGAGAGAGAATGAATAGGCGATGGTTGATACAGCGAGTGGGGACCACGGCCTGTTTGTCGATCTGCGGCGATTCAAGAGCCTGGTTTGTTGTGCTCTTCCTGAAGTTCCTCGAAAGTAGTCAGTGGAGCCGGGTCTATTTCCTCGTGTTCCCATACCACGGGTCTCGAGAAGAGATGGGAAAATCGAAGTATCCGTAGTAGAGTGTGGCCGGGTTCGTACGGATGCACAACGCATATGGCCCCGAGTCTCCGTTATTTGATCCTAACATTGTGGTGCCGAATGGTGCCGTACGGGAGTCAACATCGACGGCGGGGCTGCAAATCTTTGCGGTCGTCACGGTCAACAAATCATGACGTTCCCTTTCTTGCAGGCCCGACGACTCAAGTGCGTCGGGCGGGGTCGGTCCATCCCATCATCATCATCAAGCTCGGCCTGCGCCTATCTTATCTTCGCTCCTTAGCTACGGCGAAAATGTTCTCGAGCACCCAAAGGTGACGGACTGCTGCAACTTTTGCTTCGTTCTGGGAATGTTGGCGTTGATACGTGGATCGGGGTGCCGAGTAAAACTTCGAGTACCTCGGGAGATGCAGAGAAACGCTGACGAGGGTGGATTACAGTCAGGCGTTGTAGTAAAGTTACTCGCGAGCGAGTCCGCATTTCTTAGACCAGTGGCCCCTGACGGGAGGAAGCGGATTTGTCTGGATGTTCGTTCGTTTGACAGCTTTGGGATGAAGTTGAGCGGGCGGTGGGCGGTGCCTGGTGGCAAAACCTTGGATCGTCCAGAATGATGTAGCGATTTCCGCCCACAGACCAACGGTAGCAGGGGCTTTTGCCGACTTTGAGACCACGGTACCAGAGACTGGGAGCAGGGACAGGCGTTCTGGCACAGTCAGGCTTCTGCAGCTTCAGAAATAAGCCCGCTGAGCCCGACGGAGCTGAGCAGTCGAAAGCTCCTGTGACCGCATCTGTAAGACCGGGCAGACAGTCTGCGGGTCG